GTTTAAATTTGCGAGGGCGGGGGCGGGGAACGTAAAACCCGCCCCCGCCCCGCCCCGTTGCCATGCCTAGAGTTAAAAATTGCAGACAAGTGCAGCACCATATTAGTTTTTTAAATTTTTTAAGGATTATTAATCTCTATTATTTAATAGAAACCTCATCTAATTGTCAAAAGTTTACAAACCGCGAGGAATTAACCGGGGTTCTAGAACCCCATGCAATCATTTGAGGTTTTTAAAACCTCTGGTAATGAACTAAGGTTTTAAAACCTCTGGTAATTAAATGGGGCTTTAAAACCTCCGGTAATTAACTGGGGCTTTAAAACCTCTGGTAATTAACTGGGGTTTTAAAACCCCCAGGAACATGTGCGTTTACCCAAGGTTCGCTAAAATCGCTGGTAACACGTTACTGACGGACAATTTGGCTGTGGAAAATGCAATCGCGGTTAACGTCATTAACGGGGGTTTTAACCTTAGGTAAATTTAAAATTAACCTCTACTAAATCCATTTTTTTTTGTAGTGTTAACTTCTTTAATTTATTTTCTTAAGTAGGGTTCTTAAGAAAAAAAATCTTGTAGTAGGGCACAATAAGTAGATATTTCTTGGGGTGCAAGAAGTGATTTTTTTAATAGTGTAGAAGTGTATTGCATATGGTATTGTGATTATAAACTTATGATATTGAATATTAGTCAAAAATCTTAATTGAGTTGATTGGAGATTGGATGTAGGTCATAAGTGAATATGTCTAAACTAGTATAAATTGGTTGTGTGTTTTTCTCTATCCCTACATTTGACTTTACATTCTTGCAATTCTAGTCTTATGCTTGATGTTATGTGGTATGAAGCATGAACATTGCATATAGAACTAAGTAAATTTGAATTTGCATAGAATCTCAACTTAATATCCTATATGCAGCTATATATCAATATACTTTTTTGGAAAATTTTAGAAAAGTTTTTTCAAAACCTAAAAATTTGTGCAAGAAAATTTTAAGCAATCAATTCACCCCTCCCCCCTCTTGGCCATATAAGTTATCTTTTCTGACAGTTATAAATACAAACATTTGAGTTTTACCTACACTAAATATTTATGGGCATAAGTGAGTTTTGATTTTACTCACAATCATCATTTGTAAGAACAAAAAATATTTGTATGTGTAAATCATTTTCCTTACACTAGTGGAAAATTAGTATACCACGTCACCTATTTTACGTCGGACATACAAACACCCGACGTAATAAAAATGTGGTGGCATGTTTCGTAATTTTAGTTAAATTATTTACATCGGACCTCCTAGGATCCGACGTAAATTTTAACATCTACGTCGGCTATGCATTGTGTCTGACGTAGATGTTAAAATTTACATCGGACCCTACTAGGGCCGACGTAAATAATCCACAGGACCACCCGTTAAAAGAAGGTTTACACTAGCTGGAGATTTCAAAAACTTCCTTCTCCCGCGCGTTGTGCAATGGAGGCCACATGCAAGAAATCCCTCCGCCTCCTCCTCAAATCGTGGCTGCCCTCGCAGTCGGAGCCACCATGCGCCACGAGTGGTCCGGCATCAACGCCCTCCGCCTCGACAAGTTCTACCTCTTCTGGAGCTTAAGAAGGTTGGGGAAGAGGTTGATTCGTGTGATGATGTTCTTCTTCTTCGGACGATTGCGTTGGTCATCGGTTTCTCTGGGAGGTTCTATGAGGTGGCGTCTTCTGCTGAGTGTGTTCATGGGAATAGGAAGGTGATGTTTGCGTTGCATTCCGAGTTTTTGAAGCTGGAGAAGGAAGTGGCCAAGTCCGGGTTGCAGAACGGCCCATTCTACTTGCAGTCATTTTTCTTTTTTTCTTTTTTAATTTTTTTACAACTTTTTACGTCCGACCTTGTCATATCCGACGTAAATTTACGTCAGTTTTCGCAACCGACGTAAATTTACGTCTCCCGCTTCAACGTCGAAAGTTTTTTCGACGTAAAATCCCTAAAATAACCGACGTAGAATGTATATTATGTACTAGTGTTATAGTGTCATGTTATTGATATGAAGTATTTATTGACTTTATTAATGACTAATCCTTGTAAATAAAAAAAAAATAGAGGTCAGCCACTAAATTAATAATTTTTTAATATTTATGAATTAGGTATTTATCTCTTATGAAAATAATTATTATTATTATTATTTGTCTCACACAAAAAGTGATTACTTTTCTCTTATCAAAATTCAACAAGTGGCAAGATGTCCAAATTAAGGTAACTTAACTCAAATTAATTATTTGTTTGTGTGAGTTGAAATAAGGTGGAAGGAAATATAAATGTTGAAAATGGAATATAAATAATTTTTTTACTATTCATTTGAAATGAAAAATAGAAACAACGCAAATTATTTTTGTAAGACTTACTAGAAAATGTTTTCCTCCCAAGTAAGATGAAATGGGAGGGAAAATGAATTCTTTATTTTTTCCATTTTTTGTTTTGATTTCTTAAAATCAAATAATTATTTTATAACAATTTTTTTTTAAATAATAAAAAATTTTATGTTAAGAAAAATAATGAAATAAAAAAATTAAATTTTAATTAATATAATTTTCATATAATTTATTTATTTATTTTCACTTTCTTTAGCGTTGATTCAAACAATTGAAGAAAACTTTTTTTTTTCCATTTTCCTTCTTACTTTTATGTTTTGCCTATTTAAACAATTAACACATTTTCTCCTTATTTCTACTTCTTACATCTTTCTTTCATATTTCTTTTTTCTTCATTTCACTCTTGAATAGTCAAAGAGTAATGATACATGCACAACAAATTTAAATAACACTTTATACATCACTTTTTATATTTATTTCACTTCATTATTAATTTTATTTATTACACTTATTAATAATGGAGAGAAATAGTCACACGAACAATAATTACTCTTTATGTCTGTCTTTCCATTATATCATTTATTATACTTATTAATAATAATAAAAAAAGATAATAATTTTTTGTACAATTTTATTGTGGAATCAACTGATCAATGGTGATCCACTCACATTTAATAGGGTCTTGCAAGAAGGAAACAAGTGAGGGAACAACAGAATACATGAGAAGCAAGTGAGATTGTTCGTAAACCTAATGTTAAATGTTGATACAAAGAAAAGAACCAGCTAGGCGAAGACGACAAGCTATAAAAGCATGATGTTGCCCCCATCAATAATTCTTTCTCTATCTTATTGATGGATCATACGGATGGATTACTTCATCCTTATCTTTTTGAGAAATTATTAAATAATCTTCAATCACATAATTTTTAATTAATCTCTACATAATATGCAATTAAATATTAGTATTAATTTTTTTCATAGATTAAAAAAGTTAAATAGACATGATTATATAATAATTAGTTAGAATTATGGACATTTAATTGTCTTAAACTATCTAATTATTGTACCTGTCTGAAGGATACACCAATAATCCTCTCGTATTCTGAGGGCCGAACGAGTGCTCCGATCCAATATTCCGGTGTGGGGGAGGTACCTGCAAAAGGCACTCCGACACTCAAGTCAGGACAAAGCGCAGATATCGATAGCAATTAATGAACAGTGACCTTACCTCGTGACAAAAGCTATTTATACTGACATTTATGGGTCCGGACTTCCATGGGCCCTGTAACAAGATTACCAGATTAGGTAATACGCTCCTAATCGGCTTACAGGTATGCTTAACCCTTAATCCTTAATTATGGGTACATTCTTACCTCTATTAGTAGGAATCTGAGTTCATAGATCACCTGGTAGCCGAATGGCATTCGGCCACCTGGTTCGGTCATTCAGGTGCCGATTGGGTGTCGGCTATCAGGTGGCCGAGTGGCCGAACCAGGTGGCCGAATGGCCTTACTAGTACAATTATTTTTCTGCCTTTTGCATTTGGTTAAAGGACAAGGGCCATCGACCTACGACACCTTCTGAATCTTTTTGCAAGATTTGTTAAACAAAGGATAACCTAAACATGGGGCTACCTTTGTTGATTTGCATGCTGAACAGGTTCATAATAGACGATGTTGTACGATGTGATGGGCCAAAGCACACACCTATGGCACGATCCACTTGTCTCAAAACTTGAAGGTCGTGGGAAA